CCCCCCCCCCCACGTGCACATGGTCACAGCCCTTTTTATCCCTGCAGAGCTGATGCCAGTCACAGGACAGTGCGCATCTGCAAAGCCTGGACTTCTTACTTGCTGGCCTCAACGGGAGAAGTTTGCTGAGCCCTGCTCTACACTGTCCATGTTGTAACACTCTAGAGCTCAACTGAATTCAAGGTTTTACCAGCCACTCTGCACTAAAATACAGACCTCTGGATATCAAAGGCTCGCTGCTCTAACTCGGTCAGGCAAACATGAAGCTACACCTCAGTGCACACACTCTGTGCAATCGTGGGGCAGCACACCAAAGAAAACTTCAACAGGCACTCGATAGTTACACAGCATGTCTCCGATACACATTATTAAACTTAGAAATAACCTAAAACCACTTATGCACTGTGCACTCCCAACACTGCAATGACTCTGACCAAGGTTAAGTTTTGGAAAAGTCTGCTGAGACGGTAGCAGCTACTCTGGAGATTCTGGGCCCTGTGTACAGTTTCCTTACAGGCGCTGGGTCTTCTCTTGGACAGATGCATGTGCTCCCCACTTCCTGAACCGCGCCCTGGGAGGAAACACGAGCCACATGGCTCTGCCTCATTTCCCTTCTGCTCTTCCAACAGCTCGGCGCCACAGTCTGGCTGCGATGCGCACCAAGCCCCCCCCCAACCTCCTCTTCCTGGGTGAACATATTCCTGAGAATTCTGAGGCTCCTTACAGCTGAAATGCAGTCTGGTTCAGAGCACAGGCATCTTCCCATTTCTCTGGGAAGAGTCAAGTGTAGTCAGAAAAAAGACAAAAACCAGTATCTGACTCCAAACTGAGAGTATAATACAATGACCAACTTAGGCTTCATGTGAGCAACCAAAGATGATAACGCCCCTAATAGCAGTACCGATACGATTCTGGTCTTACGCTACAACTGTCACAATGAGCCACAAACACTGAATCTAAGACCGTTACAATGAGCCACAAAGAGGGGCGGTGTTGTGGGGAGGTGGGCGGCGACTGTTTTTTCTTCAAAGGGCCTGACCGAACAGCATCTGGCTGTGACTAGTAATGTGACCAAGGCTGCCATTGGCATCATTGTACCAGCTTACCCCTCCCCCCAAGATTCCACTTCATCACATTTGGGCGTAGAGCCCAAGCATCGGCATTTTTAAAGGTTTCTGTGACTTTAACACAGCCTCAGTTGAGAATGCAGCATCGAAGAACTGGAGCTGGAAACGTGTCAGGCGGTCAGTTTACCACTGAGGCCAGAACAAGGACTGAGGAAGGAAAAAGACTTAGGACCATAGGTTCCGTTCATACGGAGCTCTCGCCTCATCCACTCACTCTCAAGCCTGGGATTTAGCCAGGGCTCCTGCATCGTGTCTGGGAGAGATTCCAACCAGCCTGTGCAGCCAGCCCAGCAGTCCCACCAAGTTGGGGGCTCTGCTTAGTCCTGGGGTCGCCTACCTACAGTGGCCTTAATGACACATGGTGGGCCAGCCAGGGAGTCTTTGTTAACATTTTAGAAGAGAAAAAGCATTAAGTTAGGTCCTGGGTACCTTTGCAGTGTTGAGGAAATGGAAGAGAGAACCAAGGACTGGAGTGACTATCTGAGATGCAAAACAAGGAACCTGCCCCAATGCAGATGCCCGACTAACACAGCCAGGCTGTGGCCTGGGAGGTCCCGCTCTGACCCTTGCTGGTTAGGTGAAGGCATCGTTACCTTATGTCTTCTTCTATTTTTGCCTGAGCTTCAAGATCAAAGGGGTCAGCAGAAAAGAGGCGGATCCTTTCTTGCTCTCTCCGGGCTCGGTCCTGCTGCTGCTCCACCAGGACCCTAGAAAACTTCTCTACAAGAGGAGGGAGATCTTAGTACCGCTGCGTTTCCGACCTTATCAGTGCTTTTCTACCCCAGTAAGTTTCTCAAAATATAACTGAGACGCAGAAAAGATGCCTAAAAATTCATCTTTGTCATTTCTTTTTCCTCCCCCCCTTAATGGAACCTATTGGGGTGTCACTGGTTAACAGAATTACAGTTTTCAGGTGCAGAATTATACCAAATGCCTAAAAATGAAATGAGCAGTTACATTTACTTTCTAGTCTCTGAGGCAAGACTCCCTCTCCACCTGAGCTCTGTATAGAAAGATAGCTGGAAAGTCATTCAGTCTTGTGAGAAGTTACCCATCCCATTGTTTCTCCTCAGAGAAACTACCTCAATCTCAATTTAAATCCTGGGAACGCTGTCTGCGTGGCAGGGAGGGACCCCACTCCTCCCCTCCCGTGTCATTTCTTCTACTGCCTAGAAAAAAACAGAGCACCACCAATCCCCCCTTCCTCTCCCCGTTCCACTTCCTTTGTAACACTGCCTTGAAGGAGACAGACTAAATGCAAACTGCCGGCAGCCCGTCTACAGTCCCGGTGGGGACCGGGCGGGGAGATGAGTGAGAGGAAAGGCTGAGGAGGTGTTACAGGAACGACCTTTATTCTGCTGCTTCTTAAACGGAGGTGCATTTAAATGTGCAAAACTTAAATGTGCCATCATCACGTCTTTGACAATTCTACATGCTGCGTAAGAAATTAAGGAAACCAAGACGATGGTCACATGAACTGACACACACACAGATAAATCTAAAATCACCGAGTGACAGAGGCCTGACGTGAGGACATGCTGAGTGACTCCATTTACAGGAAGATCCAAGTGGGCAGAACTAACCTACAGCGATGCCCAGAACAGTGTAGCATGTGAGGGGAGAGACTGCCTGGGAGAGTAGGATGGAGCTTCCTGGAGATGGTCCAGGTCTCGGGGTGGTGGATACACGAGTTACCCAAAACCTGACGAGCTGTACATACAAAACCTGCCAATTTCTCCGCAGGTAAATATCACCTCAATTCACAAAACGGTTATTGAAAAGTTATTAAGTACCTGTTATGTTTTAAAGTTTCATTAGTACAGTTTCATATAAACCCGAGTAAAACTGGAGAAAACATTCATAAAGATAACTAGAGATAAATGTTCTGTTAAAAAAAAAAAAAAAAAAATGGCTCAAAGCTCCAAAAAAACTGTTGGTAACAGCCCCTCCTGCTAAACGTGGGGTGGGCGACAGGAAGGGGTCCCATTTCGCCCTCCAGGCTGAAGGCGCTGGGCCTGTTTCCTGGAACCAACAGCACCAACAGGTTTAGGTGCTCTCTTTAACTAAAGGTCTAACTAGACAGGTTAAGTACCAGTACCTGGGTTATGTGCTGCTGAAATTATTAGAAAAAAGGGTAAAGGGAAGGGGCTGGCTTAGTGGGGCTTCAGAGCTCCACGCAGCCCAAAGGTTTTGTCGCTCTGTCTCTCACTCAGCCTTTGACATAAGCACTGACTCCCCTCTCACAGACCAACCAGCATGTTCAACAACTCACGCAGCGCAGGGCTGAGCACACCAGCTGCTGAATTTTTCCGTGTTGCTGTGAGACAGCCACCTCATCCCAGGCCCACTGGCTGGCCTTTCGTATCTCACTTACCAAGATCTCCGCTGAGCAGCGCGTCGGCCAGGGGAGGGTTGCGCTCCTTCAGCAAAGACAGCTCATGGGGGTTGGCCAGCAACATGTCTCGGAGCAGGGCCGGGTTGTCCAAGCCCTGTGGAGATGAGGCCAGATCTCTGGGTGATGAACGGGACTGCTGGGCTCCTGGTGGCTGCCGCTGCCGGGAGCTGGACGTGCCAGGCACAGCTATGCTACGGAAGTCTATTCGGGGCAAGTCTGTTGGAGAAAATGAGTTGTTTACTTCAAATGATCCGTAAAGACAAGCATCTGAAGGAAACAGCAGAACATGTGCTCATACATGGCACGTAACAGCAGTAAGTAAGGGGTGATCGCAGACATCCTAAGGCCCTCCCTCGCTCGAGGTGCTCATGCTGGCTTTGAATATAAAGACGTAGCCTGAGGGTGAACAGGCCGGAAAAAACACGAACATGGGGGTTTGGAGAACAGACTATGGAAGTAACCCCAAACTTTTGGCTTATAAAACATTATAGATATTTGTATTTATTTTTGTTTAAAAAATTAAAGCTAGTCTCAAATGTAGCTATAAGAAAAGCCCTGGTCTGCGCTGACACCTGCTTCAGAGCCTGACGCCCGGGTAGAGAACACGGCACATCAGTGTACAGTGTCAGCATTTGGTGTTAATTCCACAAGTCTGCGCTGCACATGTCAGCCCCTCGAATTTACACTTCCTTTGAGCATCATGCTAACTGTCCCCCAGCCCTGGGGAGCCAGCAGGTGCAATCAGTTTGCAGGAGAGAAAACAGGACAAATAACTCGCACAGGCCGCGCTGCCGAGCACCCCAAGGCTGCGACTCCAGGCTGAGCCGACCTTATTAAATGGAAGGGAGCCTCACACAAAGGGCCCAAACAGCATAGGATTCCGTTTGTATGAAATGTCTGGAATGAGGAAAATACAGACAGCAGGATGGTGGGTGTGGGGCCGGGAGGCGGGGGCAGGTGTCTCCGCGGTGAATGTACTGAACTGACTGTGGCAATGGCGCCACAACTCTGAAAACACTAGAACCCATCCAACGGCATCCTTGAAGTGAGTGAACTGTGTGGTGTGTGGATGCTCTCAATAAAGCTATTATGAAAAAGTTTTATTTTTAAATGGAAGGAGAGAAGCAGAGCCAGAACCAGGGGCTAGGACAGAACAAATCCCCAAGTGTACTCCATGGTCACGCGTGTCCCGAGCCCGGGGCTGTCCTAAAGCCTCTGGAGCTCAAACAGGAGAGAACGCCTCCCTCAGCAGTAAGGTTTCCCTCCGAGGGGAGGCTCGGCCAGCGGTGGCAGTGAGAGCACGTGCGAGCTTCCGACCAACGAAAGGGTGGAGTGAGTGGCACGATCTTCGTGAGGGAGACTCTCCAATGAGAAGACATGGGCAGGCCTTCTCTGTGGGCTGAGAACCTTCACCCCCAGCCCTGTACACTCATCTTGAGCATCCGTTTGCTTCAGAATGATTCTAAAAACTCGTTTACACCATAAACCAGATCCCAGTCTCTCCCACTCCTACTGGCCCTCTTGCCCATGTGGGGCAATACAGGAAAAAAAACACCAGTTACATTTCCAGAACAATCTCACTGAATTAATCAAGGGAAGGTTTGGTTTGGATTGGCTGGCGTATCCGAAGTCGAACAGTGGCCCCCAGGGAGTAACGTAACCGCACCTGGGAGGAGCCCCACCCCATCTCATCCAGCCCTGTTCCCGGCTGAATGGAGGCGCTGTGTCCTAGGCTAGAGACAGCATGGCCTGGACACCTGTCAGCTGGGACCATAAGTTTTAAAACCAAGTCACCTGGAAACTGACCACTGTTTATGGAAACCTCTCAGGACATGATAGGGACTGGAGAAAAGTGAATACATTCCATCACGTGTCTCCACATCAAACCTCAGAAACTTCTGCAGATCGTATCTTAAGCAAGCTAGGAACCTGTCCCATCCAATGCCCACACCCACACAATTCTGCCTACTTAGGGGACAAAGAAAACCCCTAAATCCTAACCCAGATTCCAGGTCATAAACACCCACTCTGGATGGAGCATCTATGATAGATGACACTTTCTTTTTACATGATTAATGGAGGTGGTGAGAAAGGACCACGGGTTAGGGGTCTAGCTGCTTAATGTTCATAAACCTCAGTAGTGGGAAAAGCTCCAAGTTTTAACTCCTGTGCCCTCCCTTATCAGCTATGAAACTCGGAAAACATTAAAATCAGTGTCTGTTAATGACAGTAAATTGTAAAGAGGACTCTCTTTCCCTACGTCTGAGTTTAGAGATAATATGAAACTTGGTGCCAGTACCTGGCCATCTGCAAGGACCTGCCACTGAACTCCAGACGCAACGCAGCGCATGGCCGGAAATCAGGCACGTGGACCCTCAAAGCCCCCCCCAGGGAAGAACTCGTCACTGAGGACGACGGAAGCGGACACTTACCGAGGGCCTATTCTGTGTGGGAGGTTTACACCACTATTCCCATGTCGCTCTAGGAGCTGACGAGAGGGCGGAGTCAGGGTCTGTGCCCTAGTTGTCTGAATCCAAAGCTAACCCTAGGCTCTGAACCAGGACACCATGCTGCCTGCTCGTGCCGCGTCGGGGTCGGGGTCAGGGTCAGGCCAACCTGTTCTGAGGTCTTACTTGGAAACTGCGCTGCGGGTCGAGGGTCTGCATTCTCCTTCTGTCGTAAGATCACAACATCTCCGTCCTTCAGGCCGTAGGAAGCCAGTGACCTGTGGTTGTCCGTGAGAGGCCTTTCAGCGTAGACAATCTACAACCAGAAAGAGATCATAGGACAGAGCACTGAGAAGTACCGTGGGGCCAACAAGAGAGACCAGGTTTCCTCTCCATCAGATAATGTCACTTCCTGCGAGGAACCCGCCAACGGTGTCCCATCTCACACGGAATAACAGTCCCTCTCATCACTGCTTGGCCCAAACAACTGGCCCCTGGCTCCTCTCTGACCAGCTCTCACACCACGATCGCTGTTTCTCAAATAACGACGTCCTCTCAGGGCTGTTCCATGTGCTCCTCTCCCTACCTGAGGAATGTCCTTTCCCATGATTTTTAGGTCTCTGATCAAACACGACCTCTTCAGAGACCTTCTCCTCCCGCCCCCACTGAAGTGTAAGCTACCTGAGGACAAAGACTGTGCTTGGCTTGCCTCAGAACAGGGCCTGTCAGGCAAATAATGCCCAACTATCTGTTGAACGAAAGGACAAATGAGCCTATGGAAGTAGTGGGTATAACTTCAGACATAATTTCGAGCAGACAGGGAAATGGGAATGATTTACTCTGGGTATGCAAACTACAATACTACTAGAGAATGCGTCCAAGCCCCCTCCCCCGGTCTTAGGGAGACAGAGTTGAGATGAAAACCTGCATCAGTTTTAGATGCCCGACATGGTATGTACACTTTGCAAAACGATTACCACAATAAGTTAACATCCACCACCTCACAGCTACAAAATTTTTTTCCTTTGATAAGAACTTTTAAAACTTACTATCTTAGCAACTTTCTAATATGAGACAGTATTAACTTTAGTTACCACACTGTACATCACATTACATCACATCACATGTCCTTTATTTTTTTAATCCTCACACAAGGATACATTCATTGATTTCAGGGAGTAAGGGGGGAGTAAGAGGGAGAGGGCAAGAAACACTGACGTGAGAGAGGAACACTGATCGGTGGCCTCTCATTTGTGTTCCAACCAGGAATCAAACTGTAACCTTTTGGTGCGCAGGGTGATGCTCAACCAACCGAGCCACCCGACCAGGGCCAAGGTGCCCATTTCCAAAACGACCGTGCACGTGAGCAAGTCTAAAAGGTTCCCAAACGCCACCCTCCCTGCACTCTTTCTTTTACCGTCCCTAACGTTTGATCACTCAGGTTTATGAGTGGGAGATAAAAGTGGAAGGCATTCCGAAAAGAACAATTNTCTTTCTTTTACCGTCCCTAACGTTTGATCACTCAGGTTTATGAGTGGGAAATAAAAGTGGAAGGCATTCCGAAAAGAACACCACAGATGGNGAGATAAAAGTGGAAGGCATTCCGAAAAGAACAAGGAAACACAGATGGAAAAAGGAACAGAGATGTACTACTAATAAATATGTTTTTATGGGCCCTGGCCAGGTAGCTCAGTGTCAGAGCATCGTCCAGATACACCAAGACTGCGGGTTCAATCCCCGGTCAGGGGACATACGAGAGCCAACCAATGACTCATCAATAAAGGGGACACCACCTCTCCCCCCCCACCCAAAAAAACAACAAATAAAATTTAAAAACATATTCGTATGACATGCAAACACTGAAGGAAGCCCAAGAGCATAAACACGGTGGAACCATGTGCCCCGGAGCCAGGAACACGGGAGGGCGCGGTACACTTCACCACCGAGGACTGCACACCTCCTGCCTCCTCCAGAGGGGCCTTCAGGAGAAACCAGGCGGTGAAAGGGTTTCTTCCCAAGGATTCTGTTTTCACCAGCCACGTGCAAAGCGAGGAACCCGAGTTCCGTCCTGGTGCTGCCCAGGGCCCCGCACTCAGCTGGTCCAGGCCTCCCATCTCCCGTGTATTAAGTGAGCGGTGGGGCCAGATCATCACTACAGCACTTCCCCCGGGTCCCTCTGCCACGCTACCTACCATCTTAGGACGTTTCCTCGCATGTCCTCAACCCGCACAGTCAAGACTGCCTGCCTGACACGGAACCTGAATAATACGGGATTCAAACTGCACTTAAACAGAAAAAAAAGCCTGTCATATCTGCACTGAAATGAGGAACAGAACCAACGGGAAACTGAATTTAGTTCCCCCCAAAATAAAAAAGCTCTGGAGACAAGCAAAAAATGGATTTGCAGAGTTTGTAGGTCCAGTTATAGTTTTTGTAAGTTCTACACATGACTAGAATAACATTATTTCTTTCCCTCACCTGCAAACTTAAAACATGTTACAACAGATCTCAACGGTCACTACCAACCTATTCACACTCCCTTATTTAAGTGCGTATCTCAGTCAAAACACACCATAATCAACGCAGGTCATCTGCAATACAACCCGAAAGCCGTTTTATAACTTGTAGGATTGCTTGGAAAAGCCACCCTAAGTGTGAAATGACAAGGGCCCTGGCTGAGGGATGCAGTTAGAAGGGGCATGCCCAGAGTGGCCCCATGCAGGCCGCCCTCACAAGGTGGCGGAAACACTGTGAAGCCACAGTGAAGGGACCAGCGATCCAAGGCTTACTCCTTAGTTTTCCAGGCTCAGTTCAACAATCAGTATATTCAGAGATACACAATCAGTCGACAGAGTCTAACTTGACGAGTATCTAACTTAATATGAGTATCCATCAGACCAGGGTTTCAAAGCACAATGAACTGATGATGGCGTTGGTGATGCCTTCCACCATTCAGAACACCCAACTGCAAGGCTGCAAAGCTCAAAATCCAAGTTCTGACAGTTATAAGGACAAACAACAGGACAGACGATTCCCACAGCCACAGGTCTCACCTGCAGAAGAGGCACCGCCCCCGGCGCTCACTGCTCACTCCAGGAGGCACCCTAGAGACTGCATTCTACTCTTAATCAACATTTAACAACAAACTAATTCACACAACCCGGAGACCTTTAAGGGTGATGTCAAATGTTTTCTGGTCTCTGAATGAGCGTCTTCAATCAACAGAAGTCGCAACACTATTTCTAGCATTAAGGACCATAAACTGGCCACAAGCCCCTTGGAATCAGACCTGAACGGCCTCATAATAGTTCAATAGTACCATGAACTGAAAACCCACCACATGCCAAGGATCTACACGTGCTATCCCAGGTAGTAGCCTGACTTTTACAACACTTCTGGAAGATACCCTGGCAAGAGTTACTAAAAGTCTTTCAAAAGACTTGACAGCTCCGTAAGAATTTATCCTGAGAAAATAATCAGAAATGAAGACAAAGCCTTAAGTACGTAGATATCCATGGAAATGTTACTCATAACTGCTTCCAATTTTCCCCAATTCAAATACCCAGCAATAGAGACACTGCTAAATAAACTGTAGTATATCTATATGATGGTATATCCTTTGGCAATTACAATGATAAATTTGAAGGATTTATAATACATGGGACAATGCTGACAATGTAGTGTTGGCTGAAGCTGTTTATACAGCGCAGGCCATCTGTTTAAAAGATAATTTTAAACAGAAGTGATTATAAAAAATAAAATACACTAAAAAGCAACCTGCAGTCATATCTGCATTAATGAGGTAATAATTCTGCTCTTTATGTTACAAGTACTCTATAATGACTACATATTATCAGAAAAAAAATTCACAAAAATTACATGCAAAAATAAACATACCAAAACCAGCTACAATAGAAAATTTCAGTTTCTACTGGTTTAAAATAGTGTTTTACAAACCACAACTCGTGCTGTGTGCAGAGCTGCACTTCCAGGATCATACAGTTACTGCTATTATTTGGCATTTAAATGTCTTTCACTTGAGAATCGCTATGCATTCTGCACCCTCCTTACCACAGGCCACCTACGGGGTAAATTATAACAACGTTTCAAAAATACAGACACTTTCACGCGAAGCTAAGTTCTGATAACGTTTGAAGTCAGCCCCGCCCCGCCTGCATCAAAGCATCGAACGGAGCCCTGCCTGGCTTCCAAGCCCACACTTGTTTTAAGAGATGGAACACGCCCAGCCTTAGTCACATGTACAAGTAGAGATGGTTTCTATTCTAAATTTGTTATCACCGCGTTATAAACTACTATAATCAGACCAGAGATGTTAAAAATGAACACCTTTTCCAAGTGTTCGCTTCCGCTGCGAAAGACTGAATTCTAAGCCAGTGATCCTTGATGCAAGGCAATACTTTAAGGATGTAGAGAAAAAACACAAAAACATTAGAATTTCCATTTATTTTCCTTTCTTAAATGCTCCTGTGCTGTTTATAATGTATACATGCTATTACTTAACGTGTACATAACTGATGTTTATAGTTATCATACATACGCAACATACATGCACACGTATAATACACGTAACGTTAGTTTGTGTGTATAACTTATTTTATAGACATCACAAAGATGCACGTTTCAAAACATTTTACTCAGAGGGATTCAATGACTGAAAAAGTTTGGAGTCCAGTGTCTGGACACACAGAGATAGGAAACAGCCAAGAACATAAAAACCCCCACATATATTCCCTTTAGAAGCAGAAGGCGAAGGTAAGAGGAGGGAGGTAGGGAGACCAGAAGTAGGAGGGCAGAAGGGAGGTGAGTGACACGGGAGAACTCCGGGAGGTAAAGCCATGGGCACCTCAAGTAGATGATCTATTTGTGGGCAAAACCCATAATGGTGTTTACTATTATGATTTGGTGAAAGGAAATGACTCAAGTGTCTAGGGCGGATCCTGTTCCTGCCCGATGGGCTAGCAACTGAAAGACTACCGACCACCAGACATCTTAAAATAGACACTGTGTTAGGTTACAATGGAGCGAACAGAACAAACTTGAAAAACAGGAGTTGTTTACAGCTCTGTAATTCAGGCTTAAGGCTAGTGGAGCCCAGGTTGCCATATGCTAATGCGGCTTGGGAAGGAAGTCAGTGCCAACCGCCGGCCGGGCGAGGAAGCAGCCTACTAGTCTGGCAAGGTGTCCCAACCTTCTAAGGCGGCAGAAAACAGTGCCTGCTTTGCCCATACAATTAACTGATTTGCAGTCGGAAACCCTCTTTAACTTAAAAACTTTTTTGTTACATCTGTCTTCTTCCAGAGAACAACAAAATCAGTTTACCTTTTAACTTTTATTTCTCCTACCAGCCGGTGATTATAACCAGGGTTCTGCAACAGCCAGAGGGAGAGGACCAATGGGAAAAACCACCTTCAAAACTGGAGGAGTCAATTTTCCCTCCCTATTTACAGTGTCCTCTCCTAGCTCTCCACCGGAGGGGTTCATTAACCGGCTGGGTCCTGAGTTTCTGTGGATCAGCTCCTTAGAGAGTTGCAAAAAAATCAAACCAAACCAAACCCCCTCTTACCAATTTCTTTGCAGCTTTCGCCA